GGAGCCCCTCATGGTGGGCCTGTGGGTGGACTTAGATTTGATAATCCCAGAGGTCAGCCTGTAAGTGGACATAGATTTGAGGGGGGTCATGGTCCATCAGGAGCTGCAATTAGGTTTGATGGACCTCATGGTCAGCCAGCAGGTGGGATCAGATTTGAGGGCCCTTTGCTACAGCAGGGAATTGGAATGAGGTTTGAGGGCCCCCATGGCCAGTCAGTAACTGGTCTGAGGTTTGAAGGACAACATAATCAACTTGGTGGAAACCTTAGGTTTGAGGGTCCACATGGTCAACCAGGGGTTGGGATCAGGTTTGAGGGACCCTTAGTCCAACAAGGAGGTGGAATGAGGTTTGAGGGTCCTGTACCAGGAGGTGGACTGAGAATTGAAGGGCCTCTGGGTCAAGGTGGTCCAAGATTTGAAGGTTGTCATGCTTTAAGGTTTGATGGGCAGCCAGGTCAGCCATCACTCTTACCAAGATTTGATGGATTACATGGTCAACCAGGTCCTAGATTTGAAAGAACTGGTCAACCAGGCCCACAGAGATTTGATGGACCACCCGGACAGCAGGTTCAACCAAGATTTCATGGTGTTCCTCAAAGATTTGATGGTCCACAACATCAGCAAGCAACAAGGTTTGATATTCCCCTTGGTCTTCAAGGCGCACAATTTGACAATCATCCTTCACAGAGGCTTGAATCCGTTTCTTTTGGTCAGACTGGTCCATATAATGAGCTCCCTGGCAATGCTTTTAATGCCCCATCCCAAGGACTGCAATTCCAAAGACACGAACAAATATTTGATTCACCTCAAGGACCAAATTTTAATGGACCACATGGACCTGGGAACCAGAGTTTCTCAAATCCCCTTAGCAGAGCTTCTGGACACTATTTTGATGAAAAGAATCTTCAAAGTTCTCAATTTGGAAACTTTGGCAATTTACCTGCTCCAATAACAGTAGGAAACATTCAGGCATCTCAACAGGTTCTGACTGGTGTTCCTCAACCAGTACCATTTGGCCAGGGACAATTTTTACCAGTTCACCCACAAAATCCTGGAGCATTTGTTCAGAATCCTTCAGGAGCCCTTCCTAAGGCATATCCTGATAATCACCTCAGTCAGGTGGATGTAAATGAATTATTTTCAAAACTGCTAAAAACAGGAATTCTCAAATTGTCCCAGCCTGATTCAGCTACAACACAAGTAAATGAAGTTGCTGCTCAGCCTCCCACTGAAGAGGAGGAAGATCAAAATGAAGATCAAGATGTTCCAGATCTTAACAATTTTACAATTGAAGAGTTAAAACGTTATGATAGTATTATAAATCAACTGTACACTGGTATTCAGTGTTACTCTTGTGGAATGAGGTTTACAACATCACAGACAGATGTTTATGCAGATCACCTGGACTGGCATTATTGGCAAAATAGAACTGAAAAAGACATTAGCAGAAAAGTCACGCATAGATGTTGGTACTACAGTTTAACAGACTGGATAGAATTTGAGGAAATAGCTGATGTGGAAGAACATGCAAAGAGCCAGTTTTTTGAAAAGGTGCATGAAGAAGTTGTGCTCAAAACTCAGGAAGCTGCTAAAGATGTAA